CATTACTTATGACAGCCAAAAGATGCAAAGCAAAGGAAGAAAATCTTGAAGGCTAACATTCGGCCCTCCTGCAAAAGAGGCGTTCGTCCTATAAAAGATAAAATTGGAGGTAACAGAAAATATACATGTAACACCATAATACTATATTTTAGGGTTTATCAGGATATTTAGTACAAAATGCCTTGACAAGCTTAGGAGCTCTAACATCCTTCTCATTCATCCATTCAGACTGGGAAGGAGGAAAATGTTTCCAAACAACCAAATATTGGAGTTGACCCCTTTGTTTTCGAGAATCCAAAATTTCTTTAACTTCAAAATGTTGTTCACCTTCAATTAGCAATGGCACGGGGGGATTGACCTGAGTCAGTCTCAAGTCAGAGGTATGTTCAGGTTTTAATAAACTAACATGGAAGATAGGGTGGATCCGTCGGAGGGTTTTAGGTAATTTCAGTTGGACTGCCACTGGGTTCACAATTTGTTCAATTGGGAAAGGTCCAACATACTTAGGTTCAAGCTTTTTTGACTTTTGTGTGGTCTGCAAATATCTGGTGGATAAAAAGACCTTGTCACCAACTCGATATGGTTTTTGTGGAGTTCTCTTTTTATCTGCAAATTTTTTATGGGCTTGATGAGCATCATCTAATGCAGGCTTGTCCAACCCGCGGCCCATGGGCCGCATGCGGCCCAGGTTGCCTCATAATGCGGCCCAGTGCCCACCCCAACCTTCATGCCAGAGCCAGCAAGGAGGAGGAGGAGAGGCAGGTGCAAGGCGGGGCGAGGCGAGCACCAGGCCAAGCAGCAACAGAAAAGGCGGGCGCCGTCAGAGCGCCACCTCCTGCTGTTGCTGCCGCCGCCCTGCTGCTGCTGCTTCTGCTCCCGCCGCCGCTGCCCCCGCCGCCGCTTCTGCCCCCGCTGCCACTTCTGCCCCCACCGTCGCCGCCGCTTCTGCCCCCGCTGCCACTTCTGCCCCAGCTGTCGCTGCCGCTTCTGCCCCCGCCTCCACTGCTGCTTCTGCCTTCCAGTCCTGCCTCATACAGCTGGCCCATTTGCAGGAGGAGAGGTAGGTGCGAGGCGGGCGAGCTTTCTCCCCCCCCCCCGCAAAATTTGGCTGGAAAATAAACCGTGATTAAAAAAAAGTGATAAAAAAACAGTGATAAAAAATAAATAATTTTTAATAAATAATTAATAATTAATAATAAAAACATCTCACTAACTTCATTTCCAAATAAATTTAATATGTTAACTATGTTTTCTATGGTTTTTTTGGATGATCAGGTATCGTTACTGTTATTTTATTTTATGTGCGGCCCAAACCAAATTTTCATCTTCTAATGTGGCCCAAGGAAGGTAAAAGGTTGGACACCCCTGGTATACAGTATATTCCATGCTTCCTCAATTGCATTATGCTATGGCTCATATAGTATTGGGGCAAATGGTTTCGGCTAATACTGGTTCTGTTATGGGGACAAGACTTTTTAAAATTATGAACATGAACAAACAACCATCATGGTAATGTTAAATATGAAGCTTTTATTATACAATATTTTACATTCACATCAAAGCAAATTGAAATGAATAAAAATAGTGTTTTTGTGTAGGTTATAGCATTTCTCATTATTTTTGCCTTTTTTAAGTAGAATTTCCAACAGAGAAAAACAGTTGAGAAAAACATTTAGCTACAGTTAGTTAATTCTTCCCTTCATGTATTATATTCAGTGTATCAATTTTAAAAGCAAATGAGGCATTTCTTCTTGTATTCCCAGCAAACACTAGCTGTGCCAATTTAGATTGTGCTCCTCTCAGTGGAAATATTATTTTGTAATCTTGATTATATTTAAATTGTTTTTAAAAGTTAGAAAATAGGGCAATATTAAGATGCAAAGAAGCTTAAAAGACTTGAATTTGTCTAGTACAACTCCAAGACCAAATTCAAATGATCTTTTCCTTTCTCTCTCCCCTGCCCCCTTTTAAATGAAGCAATTAATGCATGGACATCTACAATATGTGCAGAATAGCCCTGGAGGTGTGTTTTCTTTTTTTAAAAAAAGCATATTAAGATCATTGAGAAAGTTGAATCTCTATTCACTTTGAGTCAATACCTAGTGAACTTTAGAGCAGGCTATGAAGTAGAAATACAACTGAAGCTGTCCTTAAACTCACAGCACAAATATTTGGACATGGTGATTGAAAGCACAGGCTTAAGAGACAGAGTTATAATCTGATTTATGGTCCATTTTCAAATAAACATGACTATGTTATGGCTTGACTCAACTTCATGTGAGGCATTTGGTACACTCGTTACTCTGTTGCTGGTCAGTTTAATTATGATCTTGTTTTGTTCCAAAAGCTTCCTTTCAGGCTGTTCATCTTTGCTTACTCATCTTTTCTCCAATGCTATTTCTAACTTTGCATCACATCTAAGAAGAAATCTTTGTTCTTTGGCTTATATCCACTTTCTCTATTTGCTTTAAAATATTTTTATTTGTATCTACATATTTAAATCCTTTTGTGTTAGCAGTCCACAGGACTCATGGTTAAGATATGTGATCCTTATGATAAGTGCCCACATGTTCACAGTGAAGACTCATATCTTGACATGCTCTGTGTTTGTGTTCTTTCCAGTTTATTTATTTTATTTTATTTGTCAATCACTTACAAGATAATAGAGACAAGAATAAATGTAAGTATGAATACAGGAAATAGGTACTGGGACAATATAGTATGGGGAAAATAGGACAGGGACAGTAGGCACGATTGTGTGCTTATGCATGCTCCCTACATACCTCTTAGGAATGGGGTGAGGTCAATAGTGGTTAGTTTGAGGGAAAAGGAGTGTGAATTTGAGGATGTAACAACAGAGTCGGGTAGTGTGTTCCAGGCATTGACCACTCTGTTGCTGAAGTCGTACTTTCTGTAATTGTTTGGAATGGTTTACATTAAGTTTATTATCTGTTGTGTGCTCTTGTATTGTTGTGGTTGAAGCTGAAGTAGTCATTGACTGGTAGGACATTGTAGCAGATAATTTTGTATACTATGCTTAAGTCAAACCATAGGCAGTGTAGTTCTAGATTGTCCAAGTTCAAAATCTCAAGCCTGGTGGTGTAGGGTATTCTGTTGCAAACAGAGGAGTATAGTATTCTTCTTGTGAAATACTTCTGGACACTCTCAATTATATTAATCTCTGATATACAGTGCAGATTCCAGACAGCCGAGCTGTATTCAAGTATTGGTCTAGCAAAGGTTTGTATGCCCTAGTTAGTAATTCAATATTACCAGAGGAGAAGCTTCTTAAGATTAGATTTACAACTCTTGAAGCTTTTTTGGCAATGCTGTTGCAGTGAGCTCCGGCGCTTAGGACATTAGATATGAGTACTCCAAGGTCCTTGACAGAGTGAGGGTCATCAACGAGGTCATATCCGCCTAGATTGTATTTGGTGTACTGATTTTTTTTACCAATGTGTAGGACAGAGCATTTGTTGGTCAAGATTTGGAGTTGCCAAATTTTTGACCATTCAGACACATAATCAAGGTCGCTTTGAAGGATGGTAGCATTATCAGTGGTGTTGAATAGTTTTACATCATCAGCAAAGAGGACGCAGTTGCTAATAAGGGGGTCGCAAAGGTCATTTATATAGAGTATATAGAGTGTGGGTCCTAAAACACTGCCTTGGGGGACACCACTGTTGACTGGAGCAGAGTTTGATATAGCACTCCCTATTTTTACTATTTGTTGCCTGTTTGACAGGAATGCAGTAATCCACTTATGAAGGGATCCGGAAATGCTGTAAGAGTTTAGTTTTAACAGTAGTTTTGTTGTGTACCACTGAGTCAAAGGCTTTGCAGAAGTCTATGTAAATTGCATCTATTGGTTTACCCTGGTCAAGTAGTGTAGTCCATATGTTTTTGCAGGGCAGAAGTTGCAGATTGCAGGATATTTTTTCCTGAAACCAAATTGTTTTTTGGAGAGTAGGCTGTTTGACTCTAGGTGGAGGGTAATGCATTGGTTAATGATGGATTCCATGACTTTGCACATGATGCAACACAATGAGATTAGTCTGTAGTTTTCAATCAGGCTGGGGTCACCTTTTTTGAAGATAGAGATGACCGTTGCTAAGGACCATAGATTTGGTAAGGAGCTGGTTCTGGTTCTCATATATTATGCTTAGGGGTTCTGCTATGGCAGTGGAGAGCTTTTTTAAGAGGTATGCACATAAGCCATCAGGACAATAGATAGGGATGGTTTTAGGTAACATAGTTCCTTTTCCACATTATTTTCTGTAAAGTCAATATGTAGTAGATCATTGCAGTTAGTTGTGGTATGACTAGGAAATGTGGGGGATGAGCCATTGCTGTTTACAAAGACTGAACTGAAGAATGTATTGAAGAGGTTTGCTTTAATGGCTTCATCGCTACAGTCTTTCCCATTTGGTCCTTTTAGGGGTGGGATGGTTATTGAGTCTTTAAGTTTGGTATTTACAAAGTTAAAGAAGGTGCGGGTGGATTTTGTGCGTAGGAAGTTTTCCTCTTGCTTGCAGTGGTAATTGGTACATTCTGCCTTTATCTGTTGGCATAATGTGCTGTATTGGTTTTTAAAGTTAGCTACGTAGCTAGTTTTGTTTTTTTGCCATAGCTATTTTTTTTAGATTGAAGTTTCCTTATTATTTTGGGTAATTTGTTTTTATTGTTTTTGTGAGTTATTAATGGAACATATAGTTTAATGACTCTTTCGAGTTTAAGCAAGAAAGTGTTATAATTGTCAACTGTAGTATTACAGCCAGAGAGCAAAATGTGCCAATCAAGAGATGATAGGTTGGCAGCTATGAGTTCATAATTGGCTTTTTTAAAGTTGTATTTTGGGGATCCATCATTGTGATCCTCTTTGTGGGGGTGTATGTTTAGATAAAAGTCAATCATGCTGTGGTCACTGTTTGAAAAGGGTTCCTGAATTTGTAGGCCATAAAGTGAGTTTGAGCTGCTGCAGAAGATGAGGTCGAGGCAGTTGTTTAGTCTAGTGTTGTTATTTACTAAGAGGGTGTGGGCAAGATATAAGCCCACATCAGCAGTGAAATTAGCTTTTTGCATGAATTATGTCATAGTCATGGGCTCTACAGCATAGTAAGAAGCAGATTGATGTATTTAAAAACAGTTCACAGACAATGGTCTCAGGAAGAGTAAGCTCCTGTGTGATTTGAATCTTTTTTAGATTTAGAGACTTTTTATAGAAGATAGCAACTCCACCTTTTCTACAGATTTTGCGATCTGACTGATAAATATGATATTCTCTTACTGTGGTAATGGAGTCTGGGAAAGATGCACTCAACCACATCTCACAGAAAAATATAATGTCAAGTGTGGGCATGCTTAGTAAGATGAGGAATTCATGCATTTTGCTTGTGAGGCTTCTTGCGTTGAGTAATTTGCATTTAAGATATGTAGTAGTGGGTCTGGAGGAAGTAAGGGGCATGCATCCCTAATGTTGGATGTCGAGGTGATGGTTATTGGGACATAAATTGTGGGTCTTGCTTCTGATACATTCTGCACGGTAGTCAATGTATAGGTTAGTATTTCCTAATTCTTGGAGTCTTTTGAGCTCAGAGCGTAGTTCATGGGATCGTACACATTGCTGTAAGGTTAGATCTGGGTGAGAACCAAGGTTCTTATGGTTGGTGTTGCTCTTGGTGAGTGAATTTATTGAATAAATGAATGTACACTTGCTTGATTCATTTTTGCCTACGACCTTGCAGAGGTGTGGGGCCACCAAGCCATCTCTGTTTTTGAGCTGTGGACTGATGCAGGAAATGTCGAGTATTTCATCAGGGGAGATGGTTGACACTTGATAGTCTCTGATGATGTTGCAAATGTTTGTGATGACATCATTGTCATTGCTGTCCTCTAGACCAAATAAAGTAGCATTGGGATGCTTCCATTCACACTCGATGGCTTCTTTGATGAGGTTGGGGATATCAATATTTGTAGTATTTGTGGTTTTTTGTGGATTGGGTTTTGGTTGTGGTTGTTGGGTAGAGATGTGATTTGTAGTTTTTGGATGTTCATTTATTTGTGCTGTGTCTTTTTCTTTTCAAGGTTTGTTAATCTTGTTTGTATAGTGTCCAGGGATGTTTTATACTCTAAAGAGTGGAACCAACCGATTGTGTCAGCTGCCATGGAGGCCACATTTTACTCTTATGTTTTTTTTTAAATAATTTTTTTTATTTTTTAATAACAAGCATAACAAAATAAATATAAACATAACACAAAAAACATAAAAATATCCCTCTTCATAAATTTACATACAGTGCATCGATTGGTTTACCACTTTTTTTTGTGCATCCATTTCCTAGTCACTAGTATAATTATATTACATAATAGCTCATATTATCAATCAATAATTGTATAACCTAATATCATCACTAAAAAAAAAATCATTTATAATTTTGTTAATTCATATTTTAACGAGATAACTATAATTTGCTTAATTTATTTTGCAATAAATCATAAGATCATACCAAATCTACCTTGATAATGTTTTATAAAGATAATATCAAGAAAAAAAATTTTTTTATGCTAAATCGAATATTCTATCATTATGTTTTATTATCTAACCATTGATAAAAAAGATCCCAAACTTCATAAAATTGTTCATCTTCTTGTTCTCTGATTTCAAATGTCAATTTACTCATTTCAGCACAATCCAATATTTTCTTAATAATTTCTTCTTCTGATGGAGTTTTCTCACTCTTCCAGTTCTTAGCAAATACAATCCTAGCCGCTGTTAATATATTTACAATCAAATACTTCAAATTTTTATTATATATATCAGGTAAGATTCCCAATAAAAAAATCTCTGGTTTCAAGTCTATATGTGTCTTTGTCATTTTTTCCAACCATATGCGGATTTTAGTTCAATATTTTCTAGCGTCCTCACAAGTCCACCACATATGGTAGTATGAGCCAGGTATCTGATGACATTTCCAACATTTTTCAGATTTGTTCTTAAACATTCTTGCAATTCTTGTCGGGGGAAAGTGCCACCTGTAAAACATCTTATACAAGTTTTCCTTATAAGCTGTTGACATTGTCATTTTATAATTTTGAGACCACAATTTTTCCCATTTCTCCAAATCAATCCCATATCCAAAATTCTTCCCCCAAACAATCATCGTTTCTTTAGCTTGTTCCTCCTCTAATAAAATTTCCAACAAATAAGTGTATAATTTTTTAATCATTTTTTCATCAGTACCTGTCAAGATCCTGTCTAAATCAGTCAATTTATCATAAAATCCCTCTGCTTTAGAATCTATAAGATACCTTGAATGTATTTGCGCATATGAAAACCAATTCATCTTTATGCCTTGTTCTTCTTCTTTAAGTTCACTCTTTTCATCCAATATTTCCCCATATCTAACTGTTTGTTCCTTCTCATATATTATAGGATAAGAAAAGGCTTCAATAGTTGATAACCAGACTGGGATTTTCAAATAACATTTTCTCTTAATTTTCTCCCAATTCAACCATAAAGACTCCCTTATATAATGCCTTCTAAAATAGCCCTGCGATTTAGTTCCCTTATACCACAGAAAAGCATGTCATCCCAGTAATAAATCATGCCCCTCTAGTGTCAACAATCTAGTCTTTTTTAATGTTATCCAATCCTTAACCCACATTAAATTTGCCGCTTGGTAATACAACTCCCAATTCGGAAGGCCAAAACCTCCTCTAATTCTAGCATCTTGCAGAAGTTTTAATTTTATTCTGGCTTTCTTATCTTGCCATATAAACTTCGACACAATTTTATTTAATTCTTCAAAGTAATCTTTACCAAGCCTAATTGGTATGGTTTGGAATAAATATAAAATTCTGGGTAAAATATTCATCTTGATTGTTGAGATTCTACCTATCAATGACAGTTGTAGATTTTCCCATTTTTTCAAATCAAATGCTATCTGTTGTTTAAGTTTAATATAGTTATTCTCTTTCAATGTAGTACATCTTGATGTCAAATATATCCCCAGATATTTAACCTTATTCGTAACTTGAATTTTCAATAAATCTGCCAATTCATCTCTTTGTTTTAATAACATATTCTTTGTCAAGATCTTTGTTTTATCTTTGTTTATTTTCAAACCGGCCATCTCACCATAAATCTCTATCTTTTCCAGTAGCTTTAAAGCTGTTCCTAGAGAATCTTCCAAAATAAAAACCGTCATCCGCAAAGGCTTGCAATTTAAATTCCTCCTTCTTAATTTTCATTCCTTTTATATTTGGATCCTCTCTAATGTTTCTATTCAGCACTTCCAAAGTCAATACAAATAACAAAGGTGATAATGGGCAACCTTGTCTTGTGCCTTTTCTTATATTAATAGAATCTGTAAAATCTCCCTCTATCATCACTCTTGCCGTTTGTTTATCATATATGGCTTCTATTGCTTGAATAAATTTTCTAGCAAAGCCCATCTGTTCCAATAACAAAAACATGAATCTCCAATTCACATTATCAAATGCTTTTTGGGCATCTAAAAATACCAAAGCCATTTGTTTTTCAGGGTGTGCCTCGTAATATTCCAAAGTGTCCAGAATTACCCTCATATTATCCCTAATTTGTCTCCTTGGCAGGAATCCATTCTGGTCAGGATGAATAAAGTCATTTAGATATCTTTTGAGCCTTTCTGCCAAGATGGAAGCAAAGATTTTGTAATCTGCATTCAGTAAAGAAATAGGTCTATAGTTCTTAATTTGTGATGGATCAGCCCCTTCTTTTGGAATAAGTGTGATATAAGCTTCTGACCATGTTTTAGGTATTTTCTTATTTAACATGGCTTCATTCATAACTTCTAACAATGGAGTGCTCAACGATTCTTGTAATGCTTTATAAAATTCTGCCGGGAGCCCATCTGGGCCTGGTGCTTTTCCATTATTCTGACTATTAAATGCTTCCATTAGTTCCATCATTGTTATGGTACTTTCTAACATTTTTTCAGTCTCTTCAGATATCTTGGGTAGGTTAGCATTTTGTAGATAAAGCTTAATTCTTTCCTCATCAAAATCCTCCTGTTTATATAATTGTCCATAAAAGTCTTGGATAATTATCTTTTTCTCCTTATTACCATAACACATTTGACCTTGATCATCTATTAACTGTACTATTCTCCTAGATTCTTTCTCCTTTCTCAATTTGTATGCTAGCCATCTACCTGGTTTGTTTGCATCTTCAAAATAGTTCTGTTTAGCACTTCTAATTTTTTGTGCCAACTCCTCTTTCTCCGCCTGACCCATCTTATGTTTAATTATATCCATTTTGAATTTAATATCTTTTTTCTGTGGCATATTCTGCAATTCTTTTTCCAGTTTTTTATAATCATCTTCTAAAGCTTTAATAGTTTGCCTCTTCCTAATATTCTTTTTCTTTGTATAGTCCATTATTAATCCTCTCGCATATGCCTTCATTGTATCCCAAACATTCTGCATTGAAGTATCTTCTTTTTTATTTTCAATGAAAAAGAAGGCCAATTCTTTGTCCATCCATTGTGTAAAGTCTTTTTCCTTTAAAATAGCGTTATTTAATGTCCATCTAGATCTTCTTCTTTGTCCTTTCCATTTAATTATCATAGGGTTATGGTCTGCCCATATACCCATTTCTATATTTATTTCTTGAATGTTAGATATTAGTTCTGATGAGGTCCAAATCATATCTATTCTGGACCATGATAAATGTCTATTTGAATAAAAAGTATATTGCTGCGTTTTACCATTTCTTTCTCTCCATATATCTTTTAAATTTAATTCGTCTACCATTTTAAAAATGGATTTAGGGAGAGTCTTTCTATTTTGTTTTAATGCTGTCGCTATATAGTCCAATTTATTATCTACAATTCCATTAAGATCTCCCATCATAATTATATTGACATGGTCCAGTCCAATTAATTTCATATGTAACTTTTTATAAAATTCTTCTTGTTTATCGTTCGGAGCATAAATTGCAAAAGTAATATTTTTATATTGTCATCCACTATT